ACAATAAGTAAAAATGTATTTGTTGAGTAAACTATTTTCATAGTGTCTTATTAGAGTAACAAAATGATTTTCTTTACCTTGGTTTATAGAACACAACGAACATAGATTTGTTTTTAATAGCATTCGATGCAGTAACAACAACACCATGGTGCATACTCTCTTTTGAAAGTTTGTTGCGTTGTTGATGATAAGCTATTTTCTGGATTCCAACTCGCGCTTCCCCATCCTCTCCTCTATGATAAAAAATAGTAAAAATCCAAAATCCAAGAAAAAAATAGAAGTAAAATGAAAAAAAATATATATACCGAAGGAAAACAAAAGAATCTCCAACAATCAAATCTTTTTCCTTTACGAACTCATTCCAACCAGATGTGAAAAGATGTTTTTGTGGTGTACCTAATTGATTTTTTTGTAAGAAAATAAATATAAGTAATCAATACTCGTAATGATATGAATAAAAATTTGTGGTTACCTCTTAAAGTATGTTTAAATTTCCATTCTTGACCATGAATATCTTTAGCAATTACCTCTTGACTCGGCATTGGCTGAGACATATCCTAAAGAAAATATTTGATATAAAATTTGATGTAACATTTTACAAATTGAATCAATGTAATTCAGTGTTCATACCAGCGGAGGAAGACATTCAATGGCATGTCTTTTAATCAAAGCAAAACGACTCATTTTGTCGGTATAAGAGGCACTTAACACCTTAGTGAAATAATTAATGTTTTGTACGTTGTTTTCATGTTTAGGAGTTTGGATTTAAACTTCCTAACAAAATAGANTATACCCCAAGCAATATAATAGCATTTACATCCAGTTAGTATAGCTCCAAAAAATATCAGTATAGTTCATGTGCATTTTATAAATAAGAAACATAAATAATCAATAAGTCCTACCTTAAGCTTGATACTAAAAACATTGCAACAAATTTTTGAAGGAATATCAAAAACTGGTTTTAGTTGACATAGTTCATCGTTTATATATGTAAGCTGGTATCACAAAAATAAATAAAAATAAATAAAAATAAATAAAAAATAAATAAAAATAAATAAAAAATAAAGAAAAAAATAAAAAATAAATAAAAAACTAGCTGGTATCACAAAAAAATTTTGAAATAAGTTTTCCAAATCAAAATTTATCTGAAAGAAATAATTGAGTAACAAAAATTGTTGCCTGTTTTAGATGCCCTTGAGGAAAGTAAAATACTTTTTCTCCAACTTTTGGTAGATCAAACAGAGGACCAGCATATATCTTCCATAATTGACCATAGAAATAGTTATTGATTCCATCTGTAGCTATACAAACAGTCAGAATACAATTATGGATAAATATTTTTCTTCAGTCAGAAACCAAAATCAAATCGAAGAATTTCTCACATATACCTATTAATTCAGGTTGGGCATGCATGCTTTGATTACTGGCCATCAGCTCTTATCCAAGCACTGATCTATTTCCACTTGCACAAAAAT